AATTTATTTGTTAATTTTCATATTAAAGTAGGTATACCAAGTTATCAACTTTTTGAATCAAATGCTATGATTCTAACTCTTATCTTTAAAGTTTATCAACTTATTACTTATAAAATTGTGTTAATAATTCATATAATAATTGTCTCAACAAAAGGATGTTTTTCAATGTTGAATTGATAAAATCTTACTTAAAACTAATAATTAAAAAAAAAGTGTTTGAAAAATCATTTATATAAAAGATATTAAGTAGTAATTTATATCTAGAAATTTAGAAAAATAAATAGATATAGATAAAATTTATATAGATTTTAGGCCTCTAATAAAAATTTCGCTTTAGGTCACAAATTATGTTGAGTCGCCCCTGATTCCAAATTCATCTTTCTAACTAGAATAATAGTCTGTTTGACTAATTTTTTGAAAAGCCAAAAACACTAACTTTTCCAAAAAAAAAAAAGCCCAAAAACATTTTCTGTCAAAAGCAATTTCAAGTACGCATTATTATATTCAGAAAACTTGAATCGAAGAACAAACTAAAATGCAAGGTTTTATATTACAATACACCAACCTTCTCAAAAGGAATTATTTCCTTAATTTCAATTTATTTGTTCTATTTCATCTAATACAGAGTTTAAAAAAAATTCTATAATTTTAAATTAAAGATATATTAAGTGTCAAAATATATTTTAATTTTGTGATTTTAAATATGAGTATAATTTTAAAATTTTCTTAAAAAATAGAAAAGAAATATAATTTTAAAATAGATTAAAAAGAAAAATTACCCTTATATATAAGGCAGGTTCTTCATCGTCGTTTAACCGGAATTTCAATGTCCACTCCATCTCTTCTTTACTGTTTTCTCTTTCTCTACAGACTTTAAATCTGTCGCTGAAGCTTTGCTGAAGATTTCTGTTTCTCTCCTACGAGCTGCGCAGGTACTTCTTCATCGTTTAAGCGACCCTAATTTCTCTCCCTCTGAACTCTAAGTTCTACCTCTGAACTCTTCAATGGCGAATCCATCTGTTCTTTACTGTTTTCGGTTTGTCTGCAGCCTATAAATTCCTCTCTGAACGTTTCTTCAACATTTCGCTTTCTGTCGGATGACCTGCTCAGGTACTCCATCTGTTCTTTACTGTTTTCTATTTCTATAGAGCCTTTAAATCTGTCTCTCAACCTTTCCTGAAGATTTATGTTTCTCTCGGACAACCTGCGTAGGTACTTCTTCATGGTTTAAGTAAAATTTACATGTTTCTTCCATCCTTTGCTGTTTCTCCCATTTCTAATTTGTGTTCTGTTTTGCTCTTTCTCTGATTGTTAAATTCGCGCCTGTACACTATATTAAGCCATATTACACTGTATGCATGTACTGCAAACTTCTGATGAATAATTGCATGTATTGGTCTATTACACTGTGTTCACCATCAAACCACACCCTTTCAATGCTTCAAACATTCTGCTTACAATGCTTTTTCCATTTGTCTTTCCGCTATTGTTTACGCTTTCAAACTCTTCTATTTTGTGATGGTTTTTCCCTTTTTCGATCTGAAGCTCTGTAAATCTATTTCATGTTAATGTTAGATTTAATCCTATTGCCCGTTCGTAAACTCATCAAATTTTTGCAGCAAATCTTTTTTTCCCGCTTTGTCTCAATGGGCTTACATGGATATTCCCGCATTCATCTCAACCTTAGTTTTCCTGCTTAAACGTTTTCTCATTTCTGACATATGGTCTATCCTCACGTGTTCGGTATTCACAGGTTTTATATGACTTCGCTTTCATTTCCCTCAATACTTGTCCACACAAATTCATTGCCAAAAGGAAAGAAAATATTCCCTGTAATATAATTACTCATTCATTTCTTGTGTTCCGTATGTAGTTGTAGCTTATTTCATATTCACTTTGCCACAATTCAATATTCCTAAATACTCACTTTGTTTCGCAGGAAATTCTCTCCAACTCAAACATACAAATACCACTGATACAGAACACCCTGCACAGTCTGCAGCAGCCTCTTCGTTATCCCAACCTTAGAGGGATTCTTTCAACTGTTGACGCACACTGTATATAGGAGCTACCCAGTCGACAACATTCCCAGGCATCCCTCACTTGCTCACAGGTACCTTATATGCTTTCTCACATGAACCAATTTATTGGATATTTTTCTCCATATATTTGTTTATTACTCCTATTTTTCACAAAGGATCATAGAACTCACCAAAAATAACAAACTCTAATCACAATAAGATATTGAGATACAAAATTTTAACAATTGCGAGAAGAGCTTTTGATGAAGTCTATATCTTCATGACTTTAAAGCTTGTGTTTGCCTCATTATCACATCAAAAAATGTATGTAATTTGTTCTGCAAATGCAAATGAAATGTACAGGTAAAAATTAGAAAGAAATCAGTGGTAGGAAGAGGAAGAATACAACATTTGCCTCTACAGCTGCTTTGCTAAGAAATAAGCGCAATACACCTGCTTATACAAAAGCAAAAGTGATTTAATGGCCAATCAAATTAATCTTTCATATAATTTAATTCATGAGTCCTTTCGTTTGTTCCATATGTTGTTCTAACTTATTTCCTATTGCAATTGTTCAAATTCAATATTCCTAAATAGTAACTCTATTTCACAGGAGATTGCCCACAGCTAAAACATAGAAATAACGCTGATACAGAACAGTGTGCAGGCTGTGCATCTGACTCTTCATTATGACCACCTTAGAGGGATTGCTTCCACTCCTCACGCAAACCGTATATACCGGCTAGCCAGTCCACAAGATTGACACACATCCCACACGTTCTCACAGGTACGTTATGTGCTTTTTCTCATAATGTATACAATTTCAGATACCAGTGATATACAACGGCCTGCACCGTATGCAGCATCATCTTCATTACCGTCACCTTAGAGCGATTGCTTCAACTGCCAACACAAATCGTATATACAGCCTACCGACTCCACAAGATTCACAGACATCCCACCCGTCATCACAGGTACCTTATGTGTTTTCTTGCATCAACTATACAATCTCCTAGACCCAGGAGCTATTGTCTCATATTGTACTTTGCCTGTAGCTACAACATTCCAAGTACAGTGACAATTGTTATGTCACCCAGTTGTATTAGTCACTCCAGTACGAAAGTCTCTCATAATGGTACTACGACTAAATAATCGTACTTTATTTGTGCTGCTAATTTACTGCTTCTCTTACTGATTTTGTTTCCACTGTTTGCCCATCACTTTTCATTCAACTCTTTTAATTAATGTTTCAACTTTTTGCACTTTTCTTTTTTCCACGATAGTCCAAACTGTTAATAGCTATTCAAAATCATGAATTGCTAGCCATACCACTGTAGGGAAATAGTTGCTTCTAGGCTTATCCTTACTTTCTTTCATCAGCTTATCTTTTCTTTTTCCACAATTAAATGTGCTTACAATATAAATGGCATTTACATATTACACTCACATAGGACGCAAAAAACTACATAAGAAAAAGAAACACTATAATACAAAATACAACTTTCATCCTTTACTTTAGTTTTGTTTCCGAATGTCAATTCAAAGGAGAAAGCATTGTTTAGTTGTTGTTTCTTTTGTTACTTCCTATGTCCTGCATTCCTACACAAGGACAGAAAATTTCTACAAACTTGCCAACTTTTGTACTATCTTCAAATCCAAACTAACAAAATTTATTGTCTTTTCCCACATATTTTCTACAACGTATTCCTTTGTGTGTGAATCATACAAAAGGTACATCATTTGTTTCTGCTACATGTTTGCTGTTTATATATTTACCCCCACCAAATATATTTGAAAGCTGTATCCTTCCTTTGCATCTACTTCCACTGTAACTTGTTCCTATTAGTTTAACTTTCTGTTCATAACTCATTTTCTCTCTTACTTTACCTCCGCTAAAACGCCCTAGCAGTTTTACACATGACTGTACTTCCACGTTCATAAGACTGCTGTCTCTGTTTTTAGCTCTTCCTTATTTGGTTTTTTTATACACCATACAAAGTTTATTATGCTTCTGCAGTTTATATCTCATAGTCCCCAATAGTAACAACTACAACTGTAAAGTGCTATAGTTGTTCCACATACTCTCACAGACTTCAAATTAAGGTTCACCAAATTTTCAGTTCTCCAGTTTCTCTATTAATAATGGACAGTCACGGATTTTTCTCTTCTGTTTGTATCAGAAGTTCTTTTCAGACAGAATCAACGTGTGAGATAAAAGGTACTATATGACTACATTTACGTAGCAAATACAGTGCCCATGTTTCGTTGGACAACTTCAAACTTACTGGCTAAACCTTAACATTGGTTTTCTTTAACAAAAATGCTTCCATACTTCACATTCAGTGTTTCCTCTTTTATTTCTTCAGCTTCTGCTTTAGATTTCAATTACCCAAAATATAATGCTTTATGTTCCTGCCTCTTTGCTTCTTTCCATTTGCGAATGGAATCATTTGACAGAACGCCTCACAAATCTGGTAGTTCACTGCGTTCTAGGGTGTAGGCTTAAAGAGGGTACGATAATGTTGCTCTAACATCAGACGATAACGGAAGATAATTAAAAAAATAGAAAACTCATTTGTAGCATCAATAGAAAATGGAGCCTTCACATGATAAAATTACTATACAACAAACTCACACGTTTAG